GTTGAATCTCTCTGATTTTATTTTGTTATTTGTTGAATCGCTCTGATTTTATTTTGTTATTTCCAATCCAATCCAATCCAACTTTATTTGTTAAGCACTTTAAAAACAACCAAAGTTGACCAAAGTGCTGTACAGGAGAATAAATATGACATCATAAATGTAAACAGTGATGGTGATGATGAAGACCACTCTGAGGAATACAGACAGTGATGGCGACAACACTGGAAAGTTCCCGTGGCAGATAACATGGACGAAGTCCGACGGCGACGAGCTCGATGTCCGGGCTGCAGACGCTCTTTCACACAGAGTGCCCGGCGTTACACCACCTGTTGTTTATGAGCACGGACAGTATCCCTCCTTTCTTCATGCCGGTCGCGGTGGTGTCCCTGACGGCTCGAACCGTCTGGAAGCCGGGAATGGTGATGATGGAGTCCGGTATCTGCTCGATGATTGCAGGGATGTAGAGTTTAAAGCTCCTCTTCTTCATCCTCCGTTTAACCCCCGCTCTGCAGCCTCACCGTCTCCTCCTCAGCTCCTCCGGTATGGAGGCTCTCTCTCCGGTCAGGATGCTAGGGGGCCTCAGGGCGATCATCTGGTCGCGGGTGAAAACAATGCGACTCCCCGTCGCCATGGAGACCAGCGTAAACAAAAAATAAAAAGTGCTCAAAAACGCCAAAAAAGTATTTAGGCGACATGAACAAAGTAGTAAGAAAGTAAGAAAGTAAGAAAAGAGTTCAAAATAGCAGAAACACACTGAAAACACACTAAAACTACAACAATGAAAGGAGCTGCCATGACAGGCTATTTGTTGAATCTCTGTGATTTTATTTCATTTGTTGAATCTCTCTGATTTTATTTTGTTATTTGTTGAATCTCTCTGATTTTATTTTGTTGTGTGTTAAATCTCTCTGATTTTATTTATGTGTTGAATCTCTCTGATTTTAATTTATTATTTGTTGAATCTCTCTGATTTTATTTTATTTGTTGAATCTCTCTGATTTTATTTTGTTATTGTTTAATCTCTCTGATTTTATTTTATTTGTTGAATCTCTCTGATTTTATTTCATTTGTTGAATCTCTCTGATTTTATTTCATTTGTTGAATCTCTCTGATTTTATTTCATTTGTTGAATCTCTCTGATTTTATTTTGTTATTGTTTAATCTCTCTGATTTTATTTTATTTGTTGAATCTCTCTGATTTTATTTCATTTGTTGAATCTCTCTGATTTTATTTCATTTGTTGAATCTCTCTGATTTTATTTTGTTATTGTTTAATCTCTCTGATTTTATTTTATTTGTTGAATCTCTCTGATTTTATTTTATTTGTTGAATCTCTCTGATTTTATTTTATTTGTTGAATCTCTCTGATTTTATTTTGTTATTTGTTGAATCTCTCTGATTTTATTTTGTTATTTGTTGAATCTCTCTGATTTTATTTTATTTGTTGAATCTGTCTGATTTTATTTCATTTGCTGAATCTCTCTGATTTTATTTTATTTGTTGAATCTCTCTGATTTTATTTCATTTGTTGAATCTCTCTGATTTTATTTTATTTGTTGAATCTGATTTTATTTTATTTGTTGAATCTCTGTGCTTTTATTTTGTTGTGTGTTGAACCTGGTTTTATTGTGAAAGTCCCGGCAGTGAAGGCTGTGTGCTCCAGCTTGACATCCGGTTCCAGCTGCAGCTGAGGAGCTGAGAGTGAAGCACATGCTGAACTGAGGTGAATGATTCTTCTATTGAACTTTCCTCTTTAAGTGAAGCGCTCGGCTCTTTTGGGAGAGTTGTTTTATTGTTTTATTGCTTCGGTGTTTTCTGTGTCTGTGTCGCATTTGAATGACGGACGTAGAGTCAGCGACAGGCAGCTAACGAGCTAATAGTTAGCAGCTAACATCAGCAAGCTCCTTTTCTGTCAGTGAGTCAACTGATTGACTGAGTGAGTTTCTGGAGATTTCATCTGATATTAAATGCATACACAGTAACAGTTAGAGAACAGCTGATGGACTTTAAATAGGGAACACAAGAACTGCAGGAAGTTTGTGGAAAAGCACAAATGTTGATGAATTTGGACTTTTGCTCCTATTTTAGGGAACTTTCTCTCCAAGCCAGTTTGTTCCCTAAAGATCTCTCATTTCATTTCATTGATAAAGTGATTTCCTATTGAATAAAGAAATAATCTGAAAACTTTCTAGCAGCTCTGTACAGACACAAGTTCTATTTTTAAAAGCATTCATTTCAAAAAAGCTCTTTAATATAGTAATTGTTGGAAGTGTTTCTAATCCTTTCTATTTCTAACAGCAAAGCTTTTTGTTGAAATGTCATATTGTGATATTGCATCCATTCTCTAATCGGCTGTATTGATTGTTGGGTTTAAACCTCCAGCTGGGAGACAAACTGGCTCTGATGTTGGATGTTATAGGATAAACACAGACACACATTCATTGTTCTGCTTCCATAAAAACCTTTTGAAACTCAGATTTGATCCATATGATGGTGTGTCCGTTTTCCTAAAATGAGACTTTTTAATACATTTCCTATCAGCAGATTGTTGCCCAAACACAACCCTGTGTGGCTGTAATGTGATCCATTGTCTGAGAGAGAGTGAGGGTTTATAGAGGTTGACGTATTTAAAGTCAACGCCATTTACAATGTGGAAATGTTGCTTTACACTGATGAACTGAATGGAAGCGCTGGTGCTCCTCACTCACTCAGGGCAGAGTCATGGTGGTGAAGAAGAAGACGGCCAGAGTGGAGGCCGTGGTTCTGGATGAGGACAAACTGCACCAGCTGATAGGTAACGTGGCCCAACTGCTGACGAGCAAACGCATTACGCTTCCTAAGTGATTAATAGCTGTGTGTGATGTTTCCCAGCGTCCCTCTCTGTGGGTGGAGGAGAGGATGGAGTCAGGCAGCTCGCTCAGACCCTGCAGTCCTGTTTGGAGCTGACGGAGCCCGTGCAGCAGATCCAGCTGGTTCAAAAGGTAAAAGGTTGTTTTATTGGATCTTCATGAATCACTTCTGTGTAAACTAATCAATCAATCACTTCTTATTTGAATAATAGCTTCATTGTTTGAAGAAATACCATCAGAATGAAGATCTGAATATCTTTGGGTTTGAGGACGTCACCTTATATAATGTATAATATGTATAGAAACTGCTGTTTCCTGCCCCACAACTTTAATAAATACAGTCATGAAGACCACAGAGACTGACCTGTGAGTGTTTCTTCTTCATCACTCCACTTTGTTGTTGCTGTTGCAGCTGTCCTCATTAACAAGGCCCGGACCCCCCACTGACACTGACTCCTAAACCCACCCTGTATATATGCATTACATTACATTACTGTTTTTTCCTACCTTGCACATTGTAAATGTCATTCTTGTACAGCTTTAGATCTCTCGGTCTTTATTTATATGTTTGGGATTCTTATGCACCGATGCACCAAGGCAAATTCCTCGTATGTGTAAAAACTTCTGATTCTGATTTAGAGACAGAAATCATACACCGTGGAGACATCACAGTGACATGAGGACAAGAACATGTTGTGTTAAACACAGGAACCCACAGGCAGAACACAAACTGAGTATGATGACCAAAGCAGGGCTTTATTGTAAAACTAGTTGGTGGCTGATGAGATGGTGAGGTGAAGCTCCGGTTGGCAGTGGTGAGTGGATAATGGCTGAGATCTAGGCAGAGTGGAGCGGAGGGTGGAGGCAGTGTGCAGAAGGAGCAGGCTGGCTGAAGAGCAGGTGATGATCCTCAGGCACAGAAAAAACAAGGTTAAGAACGCCAACACGAGGGAAAAAACACATCATGCATTTCACCTGACGGCCGAGAGAGTATCTACCAAACAGGCTGAAACAAGGATCTGGAGGGGCGCATGAAGAACCAGGGTTGATATATTGCAGCACTGATGAGTTGAAGGCTGGCAGGTTTGAGCAGTCAGACAGGTGAGCAGGTAGTCAAGTCCTCAGGCAACCAGTGAGAGTGAGACGAGTCCCACAGCCACAACACACAAACAGAGCAAGACACTAGAAACACTGACACTACTGGAGTATGGTACTGACCATAACAGAATATTAAAGAACAATGGAATAAAGGAGATACATTGAGGTTTTACAAGCTTTCTTGTTCTTAGAGTACAAACGTGTTTTTATGTTTAGTCAAAGACTAAAAATGAAGGTTTGTGATTGGAAGATTTATGAATATGTGTTTGTGCCAACAATAAAATAAAGTGAATAATCTGGAAGCCATTAGCTTCAGCAGAGGAATAATCAGTGAAAGCAAACATGTTGATAAGAAAGGGAACAATGATAATGAGAACATGAGAACTTTAAAGAACATGAGACTGCATGTGAGTACTGATATATAAGACTCTGTGTCCATAAAATACAACCATGAGCATAAAACCTCATCAAAGTTTGTACATTTGTTCCAGGATGACCAAAGATGATGAATTTAGTTTGTTCCAATCAAAGCCACTCTTTACACCTTGGAACTATTTTTACACAGATGCTGAATTTGATTCTGAAAGACTCTTGTTTGACATTTGAACACATTTTATCTTCACAGAAACAAAAGTTTTAAGACAACAAAGTTCAGTTTTAGACTAAAAGTTGAATATTTGTTCACACTTTAATATTTGAGTCATAAAAACACTTTCCCTTTAACTGTGCTTTCAAAAAGAAGAAGATTTGAAAAACAAGCAGCCACATTTGATTTGAGCCAATGTTTCTCAGTTATAGAAGTTTTCAAAGAATGATGTTTTAATGTTTTAATGTTTTTATGTGTTTAATATGTGTAGTCATTGGTGGGTTTTTCTTTCTTCTGTATGTCTCACCCTGTGTTACTGTTGTTGCTGCTGTGGCAAAATCAATTGCCCCACAGAAACAAATAAAGAACTTATACAGGCACTTGCTGAGTTAACATGAACTATGTGGTTTAGGAATAATGGCCGTCTAACAGGAAGACACATGATGAATGTTCCTCTATCTGAGGGGGAAGAGAAAGAGGAACAACAGTCAACCGGCGTGATACAGAGAGACTTTGTCATTTCTTAAAAACACTTGTTTTTTTTGTTTTGGACACAGAAAAGTATTTTTCAAAGGCAGATAACGACTGACTTTTCATCATTTTATTCCATTTTCCTTTTGGTGTACGAGGAATACAGCATCCTCCAGGTGAGTTAAGTAGTCCTCTCCAGGGCCTCTGTCTGCTGTATGTTGGTGGGCATCAGAAATGTTTGATATCTGTATATGTTCATTGTACAGAGGTCATATATGATGAGAACTGCCTTTCTGTATGTGTGATATCCTTTAAACTGGAGAGTGTCAGAGGTTAGAAGAGATCATAGAGAGTGGGATCAACACGTGAGTCCAAACCAAGCTGGAGGCCTTCTCCTCTGGGGTTGAACACAGAGATTGACCCCACGACACGGCAGGTTTAAAGCTCCCTGTGGTGGAGGGTCGGGCCTCTGACCCCAGTATGGGGACTGACCCTCAACCAGTAACCAGAGGCCTCAGGGACCAGTCCGTCCTCCTGTAGACTTGGATTAGAGGAACAGAGGATTGAGTCAGGACACCCTGGGGGGAGTAAGGAACTACAGCTGTTACACTATATTATATTCTATCATTAGATTATTATTACTGCTGTATTTGGCTGTTGTAGCTGCTCAGGTGGAGCTGATTTCAACTATTGAGGAAGGACTGTGACTAATTATTATTGTCATTAATCTAAAATATATGAAATGCCCGTTACAATCATCCAGAGCCCACAGTGACACAATGTTGTCTGACCAACAGTTCAAAGCTGAGAATAGTAAAAGTAGTAATACTACACTACAGAAATACTCCATTACAACTTAAAGTGCTGCATTAAAACAGTTCCTCACTTACAGAAGTATTATCAGCACAATGTAGTTGAAGCTCCCAGTCTCTCTCTGCAGACACTCACTCAGTCTTATCTCACTCCCATCCCCCACACCTTTCGTTGCCCTGACAACCGTGACGTCACAGCCACTCCCTGTCCACAGGTTACTTTCACTTTGTGAGCTCGTCGTGTCGCAGCTTCTTCTTCTGTCCATGTGAAGGTTAGTAAGAGACACTTTTCACTGTTTGACTCCTCAATGACTCTTTGTTCATCTTGTTAGTTTAGTTCAGTAGAAAGAGCAGAAAACTCTACTAACAGTCAACTGAGAACCAACATGGAGGAAGAGTTTCCTCCATCTTACTGTCAGTGTGTCACTGTTCAAAGTAATCAGAGTACTCACTGACAGTACTCAGAGTACTCACTGTATGATTTCTGTCTGTCTTTATGAGCTCACCTTATCAATGTAGTTGAAGTATGTAAAGTGAAAGTAGTCAGTGTACAGAATGGCCTCTGTCAGTGTTGTATTATTATATTAGTGGATGATTATTATTGATGCATTAACATGTAATCACTACTTTAATGTTGGAGTTGCTGCAGGTGGAGCCAATATGAACTACTTCAAATACTTTTGGCTGCTTGAATGTAAAATAATGAATTCTATTTTATAAACTGATCCCATGTTTGGAAAGTAAGCAGGAAGTAAAGCTGTCAGGTAAATGCAGCTCCATGAGGCCATCTAGTGGACTGATAGTAGAAGTAGAGCAGCTGATGGCAGCTTTCTGCTCTCATTCTTCCTCAACACTGACCAATGAGAACAAGCAGCATCTCCTCTGGCCAATAACAAACCACTATTGATCCATGTATTGATTAGTTTGCAATGTGTGACAGTGATGAGAAAAGGCCATCAGTAGTTCCCAGAGTTCACAGTCATGTTTTCTAACTGCTTCTTTAGTCTGAGCAACAGTCCAACAAGCCAAAGGGATTCAACTGACACTGAGAGGAAACAGAGAGAAGCAGCCAATCAGTGGAGAAGCAGCTGATAGTTTTACAGGAGAAATGATGTAAATCAGTGGTTCCCAACCTGAGGGTCGGGACCCCCACTAGTGGTCACCATAGCTTCATAGGGGGTCTGTAGGTCAGCCTATATCTCAGCATCTGGTTCACTTCTGTGAAGAAAAGTCAGTGTAAAGTAAACTGTCTAATAGATCAATGACCAAACATCAGGGAAGAGATAAGCATATTAAGTATTTATGATAAAAACAATGATAAAAGATACATAACACAGACAAACTGTATAAAAACTTCCAGAATTCATCAGAATCAACTTCAACTTCTTGCAGTTACTGAGTTCAATATTTGGGTTGATTGTACAGTTTTGGATATAATATGAAGTATGTATAAAATATGTCCCTCAGTCAGGGGGTCGTCAGTTTACTCAGTGATAGAAAAAGGTTGGGAACCACTGATGTAAAGGATGAATGAGTGATGATGAGTTCTCAGTGCTGATCAGTGATTGGACTGATGCTTTCAGCTCTGCTCTCAGTGTTTCCTCTACAGATGAAGGTAGAAAGTCTCTGGGAGCTGATGTGGATGTGAATTCAGCAGCAGCTGCCAAGGTAACAGGATTGATTTTGGATTATTGGACGAGCTGCCACTGCATGCTCTGACTGGATATAGTAGACTTGGAAAAAGAGCAACATTTCAACTGTTGAGGAGCTTTTCAAAGTCAGTCAAATAGAAGTGAAACAGCAATATGAAGTGTATTCCTCTAGTCTTCAACCAACCCCACAGACTAATGAGCATTGTGAATGTCATTTCTTAGATACTGCAGCTCAAAGTGCCAACAACATTTCTACTCTGCCATGGAAACTGTCAGATGAGTGGATTTAGTATTGAGCTGAATGAACCGTTTATATCAGCCAGTAGAGTCTTATTGTCCTATTGTGTGTTAGAAATATACAGTCTGCATCTCCAGCATTTACAGACTGACAGATGCTAACTTGCATATGTTGGTAAAATAGCAGAATAAGCATTAATAATCAGCTATATGGACAATATTTCAGTAATTGGCCCATTTGGACAATATAGGAGTAGTTTATTGGGGTTATTGAGGATGATGAATCCATTTCTGACATCTTTGGAACCAGAAAACCAGAAGTGGCAACATTTCATCTCCCAGTGGGCTGATTTTTGAGTATTTTGTTGTCAATTTTGAGATTATTTACATGCTTAATGCATAACCACAGCTGCAGAGACACAGGTCAATGAGAAAATGCTGCACAGAAAAAGAACACCGGCAGAAATTTGAATAAATATCTGAACATTCACACCAATGACTAAAAGCTTCCTAAAATGCACTGTCAATGTATTATGCATATAAATAACCTCAAAATCAATCAAAATCAGTGAACCTGGTCAGAAATAGATCCACCATCCTCAGAAACCCCCCAAACCACGACGTCAGTATCCAGATCAGCATCGGTCAGTTTCTAAATGCTGGGGACCCACACTGTATATTTCTAACATAAAACTTTAGTACTCAACATTTTGAGTTCATGTTGCTGCAAGTCGACTAATCCCTCCAATCAGAGCTGTGTGTGTTTGTCATGTGACTGAGAGGAATGATGGGAAATAATGTGTGATCTCTCCCAGCAGGTTGCTGTGTCTGTGTGAAGGTGTGGGCTCTGCTATGAATCAGTGTGAGGACAGAGAGGAGGGAGTCCCTCCCTCTAAAAGCACTCTGTGTGGGGAACATGACACAAGGACCAAAGCTCAGAGGTGAGATGAGGATCTCTAACTGTCCATGACTCTTCTCCATGTCACAAAGGCTTTGATTCTCCATTTGAAACAAAGACATTTATCTGAGCTAAAGTACGTAGTTGTCAGTATTCAAACAGGGCTGGACAATCTGATCTCAAATCAGTATCAGGAGAAACATTCAGCTTCATAATGAGAAATGTAACAGTAACATGTGTTTGAATCAATCAGAGCAGATTTCCTTCCTCATGTTGCTCACTGCTGATGTTTGTCCTGATTCATTCCAGTCTGACCAGTTCCACATTCTGCTCTTCTGGACTGGACTGGGAGCTGATTGCTCGCTGGTTAGATGTTGTAGCTGCTCTCACTTTAATTATATGGAATTCAGACAGTGTGTTGAAGTGTGTGACATCAGTAAATTGTGTTCAGTAACACGTCCATAATGTCAGTAATTGAAGACATTGTTCTTATTGTCCAGCCCTGTATTCAAACATTTTAAATTATACATCATTTCACAAAGTCTTTGATTCAGTGACAATGTTTCTGAATATGTGAGCTTTAATGAATTTCTTTCTATCAGGATCCATCAGAGACCAGACTGTCCTGAACCTGAACCCAGCTGTGTGTCCATGAAGAGTGATCGCTCTAATGATCGTCTTATAGACTTCAAAGATGGCCGCCACTCTGTTGATCAAAGGTGAGGATTTCAAACTGATGATAAAAACAAACTGATGTGTTTTTATCAGACTCTCAGTTGTGAGATCTCCAGTTTTTAAACCTTTACTGACTCAGATGAATCTCTCTGAGCACCAACACTCTTTCAGCAGCAGCTGCCTCACACTCACACAGTCAAACACATTCACACTGGGAGCTGCCCAGTACAACCAGTCTGATACAAGCAGACACTGAGCAGCTCCACTGGAGCAGCTGGAGGCTCTAGGTGCCTTGCTCCAGGGCACGTCAGCAGTGTACAGTGAGGGAGGGAGAGCTATATGGAGGGGTTGGTGAGAGCTGTTGGGACTGAACCAAACTGAACTGTTGATTCTCAGTGGGATCAGCAGGACTAGTAAACCTTTACCACTACAGGGAGTCATCAGATTCACTGTTCACATCCAAATATCACTTCATGGACCTTTACCTTGTGTTTGTCTCTGTGTGGACAGACATAATGTGAGCTCATTCTTCATGATTCCTCCACAGAGTGGACCAGGAGAGCTCAGAGGTTCCCAGTGGTCAGTCTGTCCAGCAGCATCAAACACACCTGGACTCCATATTTATGGTCTGTACATGGACAACAACTACTTTTACATCTATTGTGTTCACAATAATCTCCATGCTGCACTTTTAAACCAGTGTCCTGCAGTGGCGGCTGGTGAAAAATATTGTCGGTGGGGCTGTGCCATACTTTTTTGTTTCTGTAACCATCGCAATACAATTTAAAATAAACTGCAGGACACCAGTGCTCAGTGAAATAGTCAGTAGGGCTTGGTATCATTTAAAAATGTTCGATACCAGTACCCTTAACACGATACCGATACCAATTGAGTACTTCATTCCATACTTTTCTTTTAACTTTGTGAATGTCACCACTCCTCCCCATTCAAAAGATTTTTACACGAATACATTTTGAAAGTGCTCAAATATTTATTTAATAACTGTACAAACATGTACAACGAAGAATTATATATTTTACATATTACCTGAAGTTATTGACGGTTGCTCCGTGTTAGGGTGGCCATTCCTTACATCAAAAAAGAGGACACTTTACATACACGGGGACACACAAGCAGATATTTGTTTGGTATGATCGGTTTTAAATGTTAATGTTTTTCCACCAGATTACATAAAGGTGCATACACATACCACATAGCTAATAATAAATATACAAGATACAGCTCATGACAACGTGCCCTTCCAATTCAGATTACATAGGTCTAATAAACATCTTACAGAAACTGTTCTTAATGTTTTTATCTGGATAGATAAAGGGTAAACAAATACAGCACCTTCTGTTTCTGATGTATAGACTTTACCTATCTACATCTGAGTATGAGCATTTTCAGAAATTCAGTCCAACAACTGACATTAGCTCACGTTATATTCTGTCGCTGAGAGTTTGATTGACAGCCTGGTGGTAACCTAGCAACTGCAGTGAGCACATGGCTCATTTGAATATTTAAATTAGCCATGTGTTGATAGTTCATGGTTGATCTCGGAATGCTGACCAGCCAACTTCACCACAGACTAAGCTGCAAGCTTTACCGCCATAGAACCATAGAAACAGTCATTGATCTCTTGATCTGGGTACAAAAAGAACCGATTGCAGGTATCGACAGGCGCAGTTTGGATACTATGTTGTGTCGGTCGATACCTTACCATTATTACAGAAAAACGTAAACATCACCTTCTCTGACAGGTGCTTCATATCCCCTCACTCCGGTAACTGTCCATGCTGGATCTGTCCCCGTCCTTTTAAAAAGCATGAGTGCACCCAGCTAGCCAAGCCTTCCCGGTGTACCGGCTACGGGAGAAGCCGCCGCATATACTGCTTCCCTTTCTCTCTAGCCTGCTGTCTGATTGAGAGCTCAGGTTGATCTGGGCCCAGCTCTTTCACCCCAACTTTCTCCAACAAAGTTCTCCTCTCAGACGGATCTTGGAGGAGAGATTCCACCGAGTTAGGGTTGGGTCTTGGAGGAGTATCGTTCGCGGCCCTAGAGCCTGGTCCTTATTTTATCAGGGGCGAACTTGGGGCGATTCTTGGATTCGATTTAAGGACGCTGATTGGCTGAATTTTATGTCATACATTCATATCTTAAATTAGCAATTGGCTTAACTGCTACATAGAGCCGCCTCCTGGGGGCGCTTTCTCTATCGGCCAGAGCTGATGAGGCTTCAGACAGGCAGAGGATATTTTACACATGTTACTGGCTGCATTCCATATTGCAAACACACAAATATTGACATACTGATATTTTTATCATTATTATTATTATTATTTTTAATTTTTTTTATTTATTTTAATTTTTTATTTATTTTTTATTTTTGTGGCTCAAGGGGGGCGGCGCCCTAGCGCCCTCTATTGGCCAGCCGCCACTGGTGAATTGTCAGTCTGTCCAACATGGATCTGATGTTTGCTTCCATGATTTGACTTTGATTGAGTCATTCATATAATATTCTGTTCCAGCTGCTGGAGGACAACATTGTCACTTTTGTGAAGAACGAGCTGAAGAAGATCCAGAAGGTTCTGAGTTCAGATTACCCAGAATGCTTAGAGATTCAGAGGGAGGATGAGGAGAAGTTGGACAGGGAGGATGAAGAGCAGAGGAGCAGCAGCAGAGAGGCATTTCTGAAGATCACAGTGCACTTCCTGAGGAGAATGAAGCAGGAGGAGCTGGCTGACTGTCTGCAGAGCAGTAAGAGGATTTCTCTAAAGATTGAACTCGCTGGATAAATGAGACATTTACTGATGTCTCAACAGACGGACCAAAATATATTCACATACTCATTCTTTAAAGCAGTGTTTCCCAGACTTTGGGTTGGGACCCAGAATGGGTCACTGATAGGGATCGACTGATATGTTTCTTTCAGGGCTGTTACAGATACCGATTATTAGTAAGGAAGGAAACCGAACATTCGCAGGAAACATTCTTTTGAATAACCAGCGAAACTGTGGCGTGTGTGGAGGCTCTCAATGTGAACAACGCCACCTTGGGAATTGCACCCAAGGAATTATTTTACATTGATCAAAACACAGGTTCGTTCCACTCGATAGGTAAGACACGTGGTTCCCAGTTTACAAAGATACTTTATTTAATAAAATATATATATCATTTTTATTATATATATATATATATATATAATAAAAATGATCATTCATCCCAAATAATAAAAAAAGGAACCTAATCAGGGGCTGAGGCCTACTGGTGGGGAAAGAGCAGGTGAAGGGGAAGGGGACTCAACAAAACTAAATTAAAGAAAAAGGGTTCACCCAGACATACGTGGCAGTCACACACTATGATTTCACCAAGTCCAAGGAAGCACAGCACACAAGAAGGAGGGACACCACCACCCACATCACCAGCACCACCACCAGCCTGCAGCCACTGAGAAGGAAAAACAAAGGAAGTTACTACAGAAATAATTAACCCAAAATGTACAACAAAACATACAGTATAAGACAGGAAATAGTTCACAAAATAAACTTAACAAACCAATTTACTTAATCAAAACAATAATACAAATAAAGAAAACAAAACAAGTAATACAAAACTAAGGGATTACCTCCTCACAATCATTCGGCTACAATTAAAGAAATAAAACAGGTTAAAAGTGTGGTGTCGGCAGTCCACCATGAAGCCGACTGTAGCCAAAAGCCAGCAACAGCACCAAGCGGCAGAGACAAGCTGTGTGGTTAGCGGCTATGTAGACAAAGCAGGGTAGGCAAAGCTAGAGACAAAGCAGCAGCGACACAGCCGTGCGTTTAACGGCAGAGACAAAACAGCAGACAGAGCTGTGTAGATAAATCTGTGTAGACAAAGCTAGCGATAAAGCAGCAGACAAAACAGCAGTAGCCCCAAAATCACGTGACATATGGCGTCCGAAGCAACAACTGCTTCATTGCCTGAATGGAGCTGACTGGTTCGCAGTCCAATCAGGCGATTCACTGCCTCGTCTCGATTCTGACAGGTGACAGGTTGAGACAGTTTTGAATTTGAGCGCCTTTAACACTTTATAACTGCAAATGTGAAGAAATTGTGAGCAAAAAAAGAAACCGGCTCAACCCAAAAACTGTTGAAAAATTAACGTACCATAATAAAAACCTTTGAGTGTAACAACGTAACAATGTTTTGATATGTGAATTAAATTTCACACTTAAAACAGAAGAAGAGAAAACGCTCTTCTGACTAGTGTGTGCTGTAATCTTCTTCATCATTAGTTTATAAATGTAACTCTTATGGTTTCATTCATTATGTATTTTTATTATTTCAAGGTAGCTGCCACCAGCTGAAAGTTTAACACAATGTTTGGGAAACACTGCTTTAGTGGAAAGAAACTGTCATATTTTTTAATCAATCACTTGATCTTCTTTTCTGTGTCTTCATTAAGAACATATTGTTGGAGTCTGTCAGCGTGAACTTAAATCTAACCTGAAGAAGAAGTTCCAGTGTGTGTTTGAGGGCATCGCTAAAGCAGGAAACCCAACCCTTCTGAACCAGATCTACACAGAGCTCTACATCACAGAGGGAGGGACTGCAGAGGTCAATGATGAACATGAGGTCAGACAGATTGAAACAGCATCCAGGAAACCAGACAGACCAGAAACAACAATCAGACAAGAAGACATCTTTAAAGCCTCACCTGGAAGAGATGAACCAATCAGAACAGTGATGACAAAGGGAGTGGCTGGCATTGGGAAAACAGTCTTAACACAGAAGTTCACTCTGGACTGGGCTGAAGACAAAGCCAACCAGGACATACAGTTCACATTTCCATTCACTTTCAGAGAGCTGAATGTGCTGAAAGAGAAAAAGTACAGCTTGGTGGAACTTGTTCATCACTTCTTTACTGAAACCAAAGAAGCAGGAATCTGCAGGTTTGAAGAGTTCCAGGTTGTGTTCATCTTTGATGGTCTGGATGAGTGTCGACTTTCTCTGGACTTCCACAACACTGAGATCCTGACTGATGTTACAGAGTCCACCTCAGTGGATGTGCTGCTGACAAACCTCATCAGGGGGAAACTGCTTCCCTCTGCTCGCCTCTGGATAACCACACGACCTGCAGCAGCCAATCAGATCCCTCCTGAGTGTGTTGACATGGTGACAGAGGTCAGAGGGTTCACTGACCCACAGAAGGAGGAGTACTTCAGGAAGAGATTCAGAGATGAGGAGCAGGCCAGCAGAATCATCTCCCACATCAAGACATCACGAAGCGTCCACATCATGTGCCACATCCCAGTCTTCTGCTGGATCACTGCTACAGTTCTGGAGGATGTGTTGAAGACCAGAGAGGGAGGAGAGCTGCCCAAGACCCTGACTGAGATGTACATCCACTTCCTGGTGGTTCAGTCCAAACTGAAGAACATCAAGTATGATGGAGGAGCTGAGACAGATCCACACTGGAGTCCAGAGAGCAGGAAGATGATTGAGTCTCTGGGAAAACTGGCTTTTGAGCAGCTGCAGAAAGGCAACCTGATCTTCTATGAATCAGACCTGACAGAGTGTGGCATCGATATCAGAGCAGCCTCAGTGTACTCAGGAGTGTTCACACAGATCTTTAAAGAGGAGAGAGGACTGTACCAGGACAAGGTCTTCTGCTTCGTCCATCTGAGCGTTCAGGAGTTTCTGGCTGCTCTTCACGTCCATCTGACATTCATCAGCTCTGGAGTCAATCTGCTGGCAGAAGAACAAACAAAATCCTGGTGGTCTGAAGTGTTCGGAGGCAAATCAACACGTTTCTACCAGAGTGCTGTGGACAAGGCCTTACAGAGTCCAAATGGACACCTGGACTTGTTTCTCCGCTTCCTCCTGGGCCTTTCACTGCGGACCAATCAGAATCTCCTACAAGGTCTGCTGACACAGACAGGAAGTATCTCACAGACCAATCAGGAAACAGTCCAGTACATCAAGATGAAGATCGAAGAGACTCCCTCTGCAGAGAGAAGCATCAATCTGTTCCACTGTCTGAATGAATTGAATGATCGTTCTCTAGTGGATCAGATCCAACAGTCCCTGAGTTCAGGAAGTCTCTCCACAGATAAACTGTCTCCTGCTCAGTGGTCAGCTCTGGTCTTCATCTTACTGTCATCAGATAAAGATCTGGACGTGTTTGACCTGAAGAAATACTCTGCTTCAGAGGAGGCTCTTCTGAGGTTGCTGCCAGTGGTCAAAGCCTCCAACAAAGCTCTGTAAGTACAGACAGAGTTGGATTTCTGTATCATTACTTAAATACTCTGCTATCTTTTCTATCAACTGCTTGTTTTTCATTATGAATGTATTAATAACACAAATGTTTTTTTTTCTTTTATCGTTGATAATTGTCTCTACAGACTGAGTGACTGTAACCTCTCAGAGAGAAGCTGTGAAGCTCTGTCCTCAGTTCTCAGCTCCCAGTCCTCTAGTCTGAGAGAGCTGGACCTGAGTAACAACAACCTGCAGGATTCAGAACTGAAGCTGCTGAATGTGGGACTGGAGAGTCCACACTGTACACTGGAAACTCTCAGGTCAGATCATAGTATAGTTAATCTTTAGTTAAAGGAATATAAAGGAATGTAAATATCAGCCCGATTGGCCCCTCTGACAAAAACATTTACTGTCCTAGCGTACTGGCGGCCCGCAGGCCACATCCGACCCGCCAAAGCTTGCCATCCCACCCACAGCATAGCTACTGATGACAGTATTTCAATATTTATATATTTACAGTGTTAAATTAATATCAATGGGGACGTACTCAGAAAAACTGCAGCATTAAGTCACTGCTAATGAAAACCGAACATTTCCGTCTGCAGCAGCTGCAAATTAAAAGTATTTAACTGGAGAAAAACAAGTTTAAATTAAATGCGTGTTTGTCTGTGAGTTCGACGTTGGCTGCCAACTATTGCTCATCTAAAATACATCTACAAACCAAGACATCGGCCATTTTTGATAATTTCTGACAGTGGATGAGTTTTGAAATATGTCAGGGAGTAATGGAACAAGAAGGAGCAGCCACAGTGAACTGTTAGAGGAAGAGCTGCAGGTGACACGCTGCACACCTGCAACCTCTCAGCCAGGTAACCAAAGTTACTTTTACTGTCGCTGTTCAGAGTCATACTGTGTGCAGCATGAAATCAGATCACAGTTACTTAGTTGATAATGATAATTGATGAAAAAAGACCAATCATTGTCTGACTTCTGTATTAAAACCAATAATTAGAATTATGTGAGCTGTAGTGATAAACCATATTTAACTACAGGTGTCACATGCACAATAACAGATCACACAATCAGGACTGCATTCTTACAGACTTTAACCATCACTCCTCAGTGAGCTGCCTCCTTGGTGGAGGTCTGAAAGTACTTTGTAGTATCCAGTTATCATTATGGATTCTAATGTTTTTAATCAGTTTGAAAGTATAAAGCAAAAACTATACCAGTAGAAAATTCTAATGATGATGATGATGACAATGACGATGTCAATGGCCACAGAGATGTGTAATGGTGAATAATAGTGATGATGATACTACTACTACTACTAATAATAATATTAATAATAATAATAATAACAATAATAATGGCAGTGAAGGTCAAGCAGGACCACGGCAGCAGGAACCACCAGGATCCTTGAGAACCTGCGACACAAGAAAGCACATTTCTTTACTGGTTTCCAAAGTAGATTTTAAACCCAGCACTTGACAAAGGCTGGTTCTTAACCACTGTGTCATCTGTTTACAACCATAGAACATAGAGCTTGTCAGGTATGATCCCTTGAATATCTTATCATTTCTTTATGTTGATCATTGTCTCTACAGACTGAGCGGCTGTAACCTCTCAGAGAGAAGCTGTGAAGCTCTGTCCTCAGTTCTCAGCTCCCAGTCCTCTAGTCTGAGAGAGCTGGACCTGAGTAACAACAACCTGCAGGATTCAGGACTGAAGCTGCTGAATGCGGGACTGAAGAGTCCACACTGTACACAAATCATCAGGTGAGGATTCATTAATCTGTTCTTTCTATCCTCATATTTTAGAGTAGTTTTATTTTGCCTCTGCTGCTGGAACCTGACATACCAAAGAGGAATTTTAGGAGTCAAGAACTGTGTAACTGACCCAAAGTAAAACTCATACAGCCAGTTATCAAATGAACATGTAGTGCCCCTAAGGCTTACCCAAAGGAAGTAATAGTAGAGCAACTAACATCTACCTAGGTCAGAAGTACGGTGCCTTTAATAACTCAGGACGAGTTAGTTTGGGGATTGAACAGTTGACAGTATTTATTGCCTCAAGCAATCCAACAATATGATCAGCAATTCACATGGAATGTAAATAAAAATACTAAATCAAATAGCTTTCTCAGATGTAAAATAATAAAAGAAAAGAAATAGTCCTTTAAGGAGTCAGGTATTGAGTTCAGAGTTCAAGGTTCAGTTCCTGATCCTATTATATGATCACTGATTATACTACTACTACCCGGGTAGAGTTAATAGTAAGTAGGCAGTCTTATCTGTTCCTGAATGTGCAAACTAGTCCAATGTCTTCACCGCGTCCCCGACCCTCCACAGTCACTCTGGGCTGGGCTCGCCATCATTGGATCCTCTAGATTCTTTCTGGTAGCTCAATAAACCAACCTGCACAAATAGTGTAGAGTATTAAGTTACTCTGTTCTGTTCTTATTTCTAACATGAAACCTCATTACCTAATTTTCTTAGTTAGCTTAGTAATAACCAATGACTAATGACTACAATGGAATGAACTACCAAATGTAATAGCAACTGGTACTTTAAGCACCAACAAATCTCAATCATGAATTTCTATAAACCTCAACAATTGGTATTCTATCATCAACTAATAAATGATTTATCATCACTTTCTATATGCAACATTGTTTTTAACTATTCCATACATCATTTAATATTTTAGACTATAAACAGGAAGTTTAATTGGATGTATTTATGATGTACAATTTAATAAACAAAACCAGCTCAAACACAATGTAGTTGGGTAACAAATCATTAAAATATATAACCAATTTAAAGCTGAATGATTTTAATATCAACACAAAATAAGTGCAATGCACCTTATATATTTTACCCTGCTATGAGCTGTTCCTTAACCAACCTAACAATTGGCTTAAAACATTACATTAGTAGTCCAGGGTATACGCGGGTATACAGCCTTATTTTTCAGTCAGCATTGCGTATACACATTTCTAAACCCCCCCTGATGCCACCATTCAGTAGTATCTGCGAGCCAAATTGCCGATTTGTTCCCTAGGATGGTGAAGCCATGACCCACGCTACTCTGCCTCTAATTGGCCAATACTCGCTGCCTTTACTGATTGGATTGGTTAACTTTAGGCATGACGAGGAATGAGCCAATCGGAGGCAGAGAAGGGCGGGTCATGCCGAGGTAAATATTGCTAAAGACAAATTCACTTTTACAAGTTTACTTTAAATGATTTGCCTTTAGGATTTGTAATGAACCGGTAAGATGAAGCGAGCTATCCAAACAAACATTTCATTTGACAATTACAAACATCAACATCAGCCAGCAGCTCAGCTGATGTTAGCGATGCTACACCGGTACAGTTAAAGGCCCGGACACACCAACCCGATTATCGGCGAGGTCGGTGACTCGAGTCGGTTCGGTGTGTCCCGTACCGTCTTCAGTCGGGGTTCATTTTGGCGAGTAATGACAATAACGATCCCTCTTGACTACTATCAACACTCTCTGATGAAAACAATGACTGACAACAGCGTGCGCTGTGTTTACTAGGTCATTTTTCCGGTTTTCATTTTTTTTGGGCGACAACACAGATTAGCGCCGCCTGCTGTTATGGGTACATATTGCGCACGCGCAGAATGTACGCTCCAGTCGGCGTCGGTTGGGTGTGTTCGGAGGCATTTTTTTGACCGACCCGGGGAGACGGGAGCCGACTGATCAGTCCGACTGCTTTTCAGTCAACGGTCGGCCATCGGGTTGGCTCGCTCTGCCCCCACCCCGTCGGAGAGGATGCTGTCAGTGAAGGAGATGCAGCCTCTTCGCCCACAGTCAAAAATGCCGGTACAACTCGGATGAAGACGTCAACTACGGTAGGTGGGCGTGGGCCTTTTTTTTATTGCTGGACCTTGTAAATGATGTTAATAACATGTCAGGGCTCGACAGTCACGGAGATAGCTACAGCTACATCATGTGTAAGTTAAGGAGCCCTGGAGGTGAGATGACGTTTTTTTGGAGATAGTAGGTCGCGCGTACGGGTAAAATAAAAACACATCCATGTCACCTCCAGGGCTCCGTAGTAATTGACTGTTTAGGGGGAAAAATTAAATGAATAAAATGAAACGGATTATGACAACTTTACACTTTTGAATGGGTTGTGGTCATTGTTTCCCTTGTTACATTTATAGCCTGCAATTCAATCACTTTTGTTGTTTTTCTGTAGACATTAATAATGACTGGCCAGACCTGTGGACTGCCAAACAAAAAGAAGATTTTCTTCTGAAACAGTGGACACACAGAAATATTGTGTGTGTGTGTGTGTGTGTGTGTGTGTGTGTGTGTGTGTGTGTCCTTGGATGTATATGGAAGAAATGGACCATGCACCCATACAGCTGGATACAGTACAGTTTGTTTATGCTTCACAGGATGTCTGGTCTGTAGCAGTGTGAACTCCATTGGGATCAACAAGGAGCAAGGTGTATCACTCTCAAGAGAATGGATGAACTTTGAAATTGTCTGGCCAGGGAAGTAGAACAACAAGTCTGTTTGCCTTTAGAAATAAGGTGAGGAAACATGCTCTGTCCAAGGCCCACACTCAGGCTGTGAACGTGGCAGAGCAACAGAACAAAGCTGCCATTGAGAATGCAATGGAGAATATGAGCGAGTCCTACATGAAGGAAACTGAAGCCAGGTTTCGAACAGCCTACCATCTGGCCAAAAAGAACCGACCCTTTTCTGACCATGAGAGCCTCATTGAGCTGCAGGAACCGAATGGTGTAAAAATGGGCTCAATACTTTATTCAGGTTACAGTGCAACACAAATAATACAACATGTTGCCAGTGAGATGCAGAGCAAAATTGTCAGTAACATTATAGCATCATCCAGTAAGTTAGCTGTCCTAATTGACGAGGCATCTTCTTTAAGTCACAAAGCTGTCATGATAGTTTCTATTAAAGCATCAATTCAAGAAGAAAGCCCTGAGTTCATACACCTTGAACTTGTTGAAATCAGAGAGCAGATGGCATAGAACAGGGGTTACTAACCTGTTTATCTAGTGCTGGCTTTACATTTGTATCTGATGGAGCCAGTGTCATGTTAGGAAAGAAGTCAGGAGTAGCAACCAGGCTGACCTCGAGATTCCCAAAGCTTTTTGTATGGCACTGTATGAACCATAGACTTGAACTCGCTGTGTCAGATGCAGTTGATGAGGTAAACTCTGTCAATCACTTCAAAACTTTCATCCAGAAGCTATATTCTCTGTATAGTACGTCAAACAAAAATGAACATGAACTCATAAATGCAGCAGCTGAA